TTCATGGGCTCAAGCCCCACCTTGGGCTCTGTGATGACAGGTTGGAGCCTGGAGCTTGCTTTGGATTCTGGGTCTCCCTCTTTCTCTCTGCTCCTCCCCTGTTCATGCTCTGTCTCCTTCTCTCTTTCAAAAATAAAATAAAAATATTAAAAAATTACTTCTTCATTCCTCAGTATCCTCACCTCAACTCTTAGATCCTTTATTTAGAGTAACCACTGGCAATAGTTTCTTGAATATTCTTTGCTTTGCATATTCAAGCATGTATGTATATGTAAGTATAATTTTACATTTCTTCCTGTTTTTACTGAATGTTTTATGTCTGCATTGTTTTGGCCAAAGACATATTCTGAGTAGGAAATTTATTTATCTTGTTCACCATTTTATATCTATCTCCTGGAACAGTGTCTGACATAATATATAAATCCTTAACAAATGCTTGTTGAAAGAATCTTCCACACATAATAAATGTAATGCATTTATAGTATAAACCATATAGATTTGCTTTATGGTTGTACCTTTTATATTACCAGTTTTCTGTTGATGAACATTTATGTTGTCTGTATTTCTGCTAGTCATTGATTCATCCATCCATCCTCCTTTCTATCAAATATACACTGAGTAGTTATTGTGTGCCAAATACCTTCTAAGAATACAGATGAAGGAGAAGATCCAGAGCAGTGCTTGCATGTAATTTACATAGACTTGTAAGTTGGCTGAGATCTATCAAAAACAATGAAATAAAACCTAAACAAATTATGAAATTTCATGAAGGCAGTTGCATAGGTACTATCCTACTTTAGGTGGGATGGCCAGGCGAAAAAAAGGAAGGAAGGAAGGAAGGAAGTCTGTCAAAATGATGAGTAAAATGGTTTTAAGATTTAGAGAAAAGACTTCTAGGCAGAGGAGCAAGCAAGTATAAAAGCTCTGAGGCAAAAAATAACCTTGGTGAGTTCAAGGAAAAAGAAATCCAGTATAACTAGAGCATATTTTCTCTGTTTCAGTGAGTATCTTTGTACATAAAAATACATTATACATATTATTCTAAATACTTTTAGTAGTAGAACTGAGGGATAAAATAGTATATGCATTTTAAGTTTTGATAGCTATGGATTGGGGCTTCTTTTATCCCTTATCCTTGCTCCTGAAACTTCTTGCTTTTCCTGGCTCTGAAGACCTTGGATTATCTAGAGCTTGATTGGGAGTGGGCTGTGACATGAGGCACAGTGAGTGAATGGAATTCTTTTTGGAAGAGAATGTGCCAGGAACTGTGAATGTTTGAGAGACTATGGTCTAATAAGAAAATCCAGTAGCGGAACATATGTATATATGGTATATATTGAGTTATGTGATAAAATATTTAGCTCTCAGAAATATAGTGCTCCTCTTTGACCTTTTAATGAAATCATTTCAATGCAGAAATTAGCAACATTTCTCAACTAGGAAATGTAAAATTTGGAGTTTTTTAGTTATGGTTTTATATGAATGAGGCATTAATACAAATGATTCCTGGTGTGACACTATTGAATTCAGTTTACAAAAATTTGTGATTAAATTAAAGATGTATTATGAAAAAAGTGCCATTAATTAAAATCAGTCAAAAATCTTTCCTATAATATAGCTTTTGTGAGGAAGATAGGAAGGGCATCTCCTATTTAACAAACGACCCTGGGAATGGGTTGGGTTTTTTTTTTTTTAATGTTTTATTTATTTTTGACAGAGATAGAGCACAAGCTGGGGAGGGGCAGAGAGCAAGAGGGAGACACAGAATCCGAAGCAGGCTTCAGGCTCTGAGCTGTCAGCACAGAGCCTGTCCTGGGACTTGAACTCACGAACTGTGAGATCGTGACCTGATCTGAAGTTGGATACTAACTGACTGAGCACCCAGGTGCCCTGAGGGTATCTCCTATATAAAATAAATTTTTAAAAATCCTGCGTATTGGTACATTGGTGAAACCCGTTTTTTAATGAAATCCCTTTCTATCAAAAAGGCATTGTTTTAATTTTAAAAGAGAGCTGTCAGAATCACTTATAAATTTTAGGCAAATTGGAAATTTTAGACTGGTCAAAGTGCAATTTTTGTTTCATGAGGTGTTTTACTGCTGAGTAAACAAGGAAAGTCAAGTCACATTTCAAATGACCGAGATGTTTATTTAAATTTTTTCATTCTTTGTTTTTTGATAGGGTAAAGGTAGGAAATTTCAGCAGAAAAATGTAGATTCCCATGTACCTAGAGAGAAAGGGGGTATGCGGTTCCCTTAAGTATTATTTATTTTTTATTTTTTCTACATAATAAAACTGCTTCCTTTGAGAATAAAAATAGCTTGAAGGAATAAGGTTAGGAATCTGTGATGGAGAAGACCTTTATTTAACAGATGCTAATGTAGTATGGTTCTGTCTATTATATTAAAGATTTTTTTTGGTCTTTTTTTAACCTGGGTAATTTTTTCCAGCACAATTCATAAACAAATTTTAGTTGGGAATTGTTTTTATTTTGCTACTTGAACCTGGTAAACATTACTAATGATAAAGCAATTAACTTATATTTTGTGATATAATAAGTTAGCATTTCAATTAAGAACGCTAGTTTATCTGATGTCTATATAAAACTAGTTTTAACATGAATATATAATTTTTGACTAAAACAAGTTCTTGATGTCACATCTTTAAGGTGAGTATAATGAAAGGATCTGGTATTTTATTAGTCTTAACCTTTATCCTAAAATCAGTAGAAATATAAAATATGTTGCATCTTTACAGAAATCTGTTCCTTTTACAATATGTAGATATAGAAGTTGTAATTATTTGAATCATTAGAACATGTAATTTTTGCTTGACAATATGCAAATGTGCCATTAAATCTGTTTTTTAAGATTTTTCCAGTTTAATGTCTGAATCCAAATTCATAAAGAGTTGGAAAAATGAGATGTCTGAGCTATAGGATTCACAGGGATTTCATATGAAGCCTATTTAATCAGGATAACACTGTTATTAATATTCATAATGTCAGCTGGAACACAAATGACAGACTATGGGGCCTAAAAATTTTACTTGGTGAATTTATTAAAAGTAGCTTAAAAAATTAATGGAATTTAAGTAAAGTTGGTGAATATGAAAATCTTGTGTTAGCAGAGAAAAAAATCTCTATTAGAACTTTCTTTAAGACCATTTTGCATTGATGTCTTTTGACAGATTTCATTGGTACTTAAAGAAGAAAGATGCATGAATGGTCATTTAAGAGGATTTAAACACATTGGCACATTAATTTTTACATGAATAATAAGTACTTTCCAAAAGCAATTAACTTACAGTGTACAAGATATGAATTGAAAAATAAGACTGTGACATCAAGGGCAAAGCAAATGTGCTGTACATTTTAAACTTAGTGGCAAGACTTTTTAATATTTTGGTTTATTCTATTTTTATAGTTAAGATAGGATATGACTTAGAATATGATTATTTTAATATGTTTGAAAGCATATCAGAAGAGCAATAATGTTTCATCCCTCCACAAAAATATTGGTAGTGTTAAACATTACCTGCTGCGAGTATTGTTTGCACTTGTTGGAGAATTAAACATTTGTTATGCTATTGGTAGTATCTGAGAATATATTCGATTTTATAGTCGAAGGAATAATTCTCATTAGGCTTAGTGATTCAAATGCATACGTGTTAACACAGATTTATTGGTTATAGCATAACCTAAATGTATAATAAATAAGCTTCTTAAATATTGTGTGAGAGTGTAGTTAAGAACCATCTAAGCAGTATACAAGTAAGTTTGTTCGGAATTTTGGCCTAAGGAAGTAAAAAGTTGGGAATGGTGTTAAGTAAAATCGGAATGCATTTATTTTGTTTATCACTTGTTATACTTTATATTTTCAAGTGTGTTTATAATGACATTACACAGGTGCTTTAGCTTTTATTTTTATTATTGAAGTTCATTAAAACCAGTTAACTTTAGACCACTATGTACAGTTATAATAACACAGTATTTTGTTTTATATTTTTCAGAGATTATTTTTCATGCAAATTCTAGTACAAAAGCATTGTTTAGCTAGTGTCTGTAACAGTCTACTTAGGGTTTACTGATAAGAGAATATAAGCATTGACTGGGCAGTCCAGACAGGTACTAGAAGTTTCACTTCTAGTCTGTCAGTGTTATATGTGAATGATTTTGTTTCATTAGACATAGAGAAATTGCCTAGTATGTTTTGGGACTCAGAGCTTGATTAGAAAAAGCATTAATAACCATTTTACCAGAATAGAAATGATCACTGTGATCTACAAGTTAATTTTTTTATATAAGGAATGAAATCAAATTGATTTATTTGTTATTATTATTTCTCTAGTAGTTTTTTAAAAGTTAGGTTTTGGGGAGGTGGATTTTTTTTTTGTTTTTGGCTCTGAGATATTCACTTACATGCCCAGGAGAGGGCAGCATTTTACTATATCAGGCTCATAAAAGAATTAGCCCTGCTTAGACTGTCAATGTTTCTTGTAATTACTCCCAGTATATTTGTTGCTTGCTTATGAATTAACTTGCATTTATGGAACTAAATCATTTCAATCATTTAATTACACCTGAGGAGCTGAACTATAATTGCTTGCTTCCAACTAGGATCTGATATGGCTTGAGCAGTATTAATTTGGTGTTTACTTTTCTGAGTGCTAAAAGCATTAAAATGATTGTGCAATGGGATTACATTTTACTAATTGCTGGCATTCATTAGCTGGGTAAATGATGAGGAAGAGTGACTGTATATTGCAGAGGGATAAAATTATGGTTTTAAATAGTATATTACTAAGCACATTAAGGCCTGTAAGACATGTTTTAAAATACTCCAGAGGTTATTAAAGACTGTATTTTCTACATGTCTTGCTATATGAATCTCTTATTAAAAGACTGCAATTATTATTAACCTTTTTGGGCAATATGTAGGGAAATGGCTTCATTGACTAGGACATATTTCTTTGATATTAATAACTTCCTATATTTTCAGCTAATCCAAAAGTAAATGAGGAACTTAGAAAAAGATTGCCAACTCCAGATCAACATATTTAGAGAAAATTGGAAAAGGAGAAGCATACGACAGCTTTATTTGAGGACTTTTTAAAGAACGCAGAATTCTAGCTGAGGTAAATTTAATTTTATTCTCCTTAAAAGCATTCCAAAAAACAAAAACAAAAAATCATGCTTAGCTTTTGTCATGTTTACTATAAAAACCAATGCAAGACAGAAATATCAATGGCACAAGTTAATGATAGTCTCTGTTTTATAAAAAATTGAATAGTGTTCTTGAGTTACTTTTACAAGTATAAACTGTTTTATATGAAAATGTACATTTTAAATTCAAATCAATACATTTGAAATTTTTGGTATAAAGTTTATGACAAATAGAGTAAACATTTTATTTTTCTTAAATTGCTGGAGTTAGAAAAGACTTAAGTAAATTAAATGGTTTTCTAACCAAAGGAGCAAGAATGTCTAGAAGCTTAACCTGAACTGTATTTACTAAAATGTAAGTGTGAAAGAAAGAACCTTTTTCTGAGAAAAAAGATTTAATTTCACCTGTTGAAATATACAGTTAATAGTCCCATTATAAAGGTTTTAGAAAACCATTTATCCTATAAATTCTCTGTTAAACAAAGGTAAGGTTTAGGTGTGTTCTGATATATTGTTTTAAGTTTATTTATCTAGAGTTGGCTTTATTTTAGCTTCAAATCTTGGAGCAAAAACCAGAGACATTGCCAGAACAAACAAGAACAGAAGTACACATGGAGGACTGGTCAAAAGGTAAGGACTTTTAAGGTATTAATACCAAACCCCAGGTGTTGTGCTAGTTCAAGGCACTGAATGGAGTGTGTTTGTTCTAACCAGTATATTAGACAGAGGCAAACAAGCACACATGCACACGCACACATACAAAGAAGGAGGCACACACAATGAGACCCACATGCTGCAAAAGAGACACAAAGAAAGATGCACAGAAAAAGAGAAACACACGGAAGAAGAGATACTGAAAGAGAGGGAAACAGCAGGGAGAAAGGAAGAAAGACACATACACACAAAGTGATCGAGAGAGGAGATTGAGGGAATGACTGGGAGAGATGCATACTGAGAGCCACACTCAGAGAAAGAAACACAAAGAGAGACACAGACACAAGGAGGCAGATACTGAACTCAGAGAGGGAGGCACAGATACACATGTGGAAGCACATTCACAGAGAAAGACAGGCATGTGTGGATACACAGAAAGAGACATACACATCTAGATGCACAGAGCAAGGTACCAGAGAACAGCAGTGAGAAAGAGACAGGAACATACAGTGAGAGAGACAGGGTGAAAAGAGACACACTGGAAGAGATAAAAGCATAGACATATACAGACACACACACACAGAAAAAGAGACACACAGTGAAAGATGGAAAATATATACATAGAGCAAGAGAGAGACATGTATGTGGAGAGAGAGAGAGACACATGCACATAGAGAAACAGACCAAGACCCATATAGACATAGGAGACAGATCCACACCAAAAGATGTACTCAGAAAGAAACACCCGCAGAAAGATGGGGTCAGAGAGTGCCAGAGGTAAAGTGACAGAGACATGCAGAGATGTGCAGATGGATTCAGAGAAAGACATTCCCAGGGAGAGACAGAGAGAGACATGAAAACAGAATCTGAGACAAGGAGAGAGACAGGAAAAGATGCACAGGCAAAAGGAGAGAACAGTCAGAGACGGAAAAACAGTTTAATAAAAGGCACAGAGACTGAGAGGTGGCCCCCACAACGGACAGACGATAGGCAGGCAGGCAGACACGAGGTAGGTAGGTGAGGAGGTAGGCAGGCAGGGAGCATCTGTCTATGGAGCAAGATACAGAGAGCCATGAAGAGTAAAGTTTTAAAAATACTAGGTTTTAATGTTTATGTTAAATATTAATGTTAAATATTAACATTTTAACAGTAAAATGTTGCAAATCTGGAATCCCTGAGACACAAATCATTCTGAATATAGTGTTTCATATTGTTGAAGACTTAAGTCTTTATGTGTATCGTTTTTATTTCCTCTAAATTGTATAGGTAAAGAAACGAGATTATTACCAAAACATGGCACACGTCTCTCCCTTTTTTGATTCCCTTTACCTCAACAGTCTTCTTCTACCATATTATCAACCACACTCTCACTTTTTTCAAAAGGATAAAGGCCATTTTGGGGAAATGTTTATCATCATTTTATTAAGTTAATAGCTACACATTCTTTTGAATTATAGGGAAATGCTCTGCTTTCTAGGCATGCTATTTTCTGATTTCTGCATTTGCTTTTGATTTCCTTACTGTTACAAATTTTCTTGCAGCTTCTCCCACCATTAACAACAATTCTCTTCTAATTTGTGATTCTAGACTGCTTATTATGAGTTTAGAATCCAGGTGACTGATTACATTGTCTGTAAAGTATTAGCAGGTAATATCTGAGTAACAAAGTTAGAGGTTTTTATTTCAAAGTTCATAGTTTTAGTGAATGGGTTTTGTGATGCTTAATTTTGGTCCATTCTCTTTATATTCCAAGTTTGTGATACGATTGTACTGGTGTGAAGCTGGGAGCTAATTTGTTGTAGCTTTTTTTTATTCATTTATGCAAATAAACAAGAAACATTCTTCTTTTCAAGAGCTCAAAGCAGTTTTACTCAATTTATGTGCAATAATAATAAAAAAGGAAGTAAATAATGATGCCCCTGTTACTTGTGTTCCCTATTCAGAGGTCACATTGCTGTGGAAGTCATGTTGTTCAAATTATAGACAAAAGGATCTCTAAGGAGCCAGAGGAATTATTTTTAATATATCTAAAGATCTGGAGACTGTGGAGGAAATACTTGTCATAAGTATAAAATAACCAGGAAAGAAGTTAAGGAAGGGAGCTGCTGAAGCTCTAGGACACTTAAAGAAAGGAAGGTTTTAGAGCTAAAGACATAGATGCGTAAGTAGTTTGCAGAAGGCACAGACTACAATAGACGTGACTGAAACATCATTAAGAAAATTTGCATTTTTACAGACTTTTTTTTCCACATCAGAAATAGGAATAAGACATTCCTTTATATAAAGGGCCTGTTAATGAAACATTATTAAAGAAAATTCAATAGGTAAAAGTAATATCTTTTGACTTTTATGGTAAGTGATATGTTTAAACAGTAAAATCTCACATGGTCATTGCCTTAATATCAAGGTTCACAGGATTTATCATAAAGCACAGAATGCTTCAATGTCTTTATATGTCTTATACTAGTATTCATAGTCTGCTTGGGCAATTAGTTATTTTATATATTATTTTACTTATTTTTTTAAGAAATCAAGCTAAATAAATAATTGTGTTATACACATGCCTTTGTGTCACCTTACACATTTTATTATAAGGAGTGCTGAAGTGGCTATTCTTTTCCTAGATTTATCGTAGAAACATTGCTGAAATATTTGAAGTCAGAGTGGATGAGGTATATAATGTTAACACATATAACAACTTTTTTGGGTTTCTTTTTACTTTTTTTAAATGTTTTTATTTATTTCTGAGAGAGAGAGAGAGACACACACACACACAGACAGATAGTGTGAGCAGGGGAGGGTCAGAGAGGGAGGGAGACACAGAATCTGAAGCAGGCTCCAGGCTCTGACCTAGCTGTCAGCACAGAGCCTGACTTGGGGCTTGAACCGACGAACCGTGAGATCATGACCTAAGCCGAAGTCGAACGCTCAACCGACTGAGCCACCTAGGCACCCCTTACTTTTTTTGTTTTTTTCGTTATTGACAGTTCAGAAAATGTAAAGCTATGGTTGGTAGGTAGGATGAGTGAAGGTATCTACAAAATGTGTTCGGGTTTCTTTAAGTAGTTACAAAACAAATCTAAATGAATGAAATTTTAAGTGTGAGTGAATAAAAGTTATTACCAAGTTAAATTAAAAGTTGTTACCAAGTGAGCATTGGTAACATCTTCTGGCTTCTTAAGAAGTAAATGATGTCTTGCCCTTTTGTGAAAATTTTCTGTTTTTTTAGGGCTTTTCTTTTTTCTGCCTTTTCAGAAAAAAAATGAAGTGTTATAATCAAAGGATGTATGTAAGGTCAGCCCTCCAGAATGAGTTGCTGTGCGGTTGGTAGTTTAGCCACTTTTAGCATTTACTTATTATTTACTTATCTATGTAAGAAAAAAGACATGAGGGCTAGAAGTCTCTGGTAAGTAATTTTGGAATAGTATTATACATTTCTGTATATTTCTTATTACATTTGGTGGTTTTTATTAAATTAGCTGACCTGTGGTTTGGTTGTTTATTTATAGTGCATAATAGTCCATTGAAAATAGTTTACATATTTACGAACAAACATATCTGCAATAAGCATACAATAATATAAGTAAAAATGATGCCTGGAGGCCATTTAAATTTAGAATACTGTGAAACTTATTTAAATTTAGAACCTTTAGGGGTCAGTGTTCCCTAAGAAAGGTTAAAAAAGGTTACTGTGCCTACCCAAATTAAATGTTAAGTCTATCTATATTTTAAATATTTCTTACCAATTGAAGGTTAAAAATGGTAAGAATCATGCAGTTTGAAGAAGCTTCTGACTAAAACCATTCAATTTTATGAGTTTCTTCAATATGATTTTTAGGTTTACTATTTTAGGGAATTATATTTCATATGTATTTTATACAGAATAGTTATATTCACTTACATATCATCTCAGTTTAAATGAGTCATGTGTTTTTAAACTATTTTCAGCTTACAGAGTGAACATGACTCAAAATCATAGTATTCATTTGAAACTTGAGATGAAAAACCACTGATAGAACTGCTTTGTGTCCCTTGATATTGTAGTTTACTAGAAATTAGTAAATATTTAAAAAATTTTTATTTTTCTGAATTTAAGTATAAAGCTACTGTCCTCTTTATTTTAGAAGTAGACTAGCAATTATCTTTTATAACCATGATTCTGATGGGTTTTCTACTAAGCAAAACTAAATAACTAAAACCTAGCAAAAGATAACTTGTTCGTGGTTTGTTAGTTTCTAGTTGAGTCAGAATACTGTGTATTTTCACTTGGCATTTGGGATCTCTGTGCCACCATTAGTCTCTTTTATTATTGCTTCATCTGTCTTTTGTCATTTCACAAAGCATGTATTCTTTTTACCTTTTGTCTATCTGTTGTTCTGTAATTAAATACATCTAAAATTGTTGTATGATTTGCAAGCATTTTATAAGGGGAGACATCAATGGAAACACTAGGAAAACATCTAGCATGCTTTTAAATGTCTGATCATCTGATCATTATGACTAAAATATGATTACAGAATCTCATATCATTTTCATAAACTGTTTTTAAAGTAGCAAGGAAGGAAATGTTACGTTGCATAGAATGGACATCCATTTCTACCAGCAAGATAGCTGGTAGTAAAAAAAAAAAAAAAAAGATTCCCTAGTCATTATTACTATTAGACACTGCTTGAAATTCAGTGTTTTGAAATCTAGTTAATTAATCATTCTCTGTTAAATTACAGGGCCTGAACTGTAACTAATAATATTAATGGTATATTTTCCCTAAAAAGTATTGCAGTTTGGTTTTGTTTGCTACATAGTGGAAGGTTAATTTTACTGCAAAACCAACGCATTTAATAATGTCAGTAAAATGTAAAGTACAAAGAACACAGGTTGTGGGGCTAGTAGATAGACATGGGTTTCAAGTTTTTAATCTTCCACTTACTACTTACCTGGGCTTGGTCACACATTTTATAATTTTAAGCCTGAGTTTT